GGTAATCCTTTACGATAATTTGATCGTCATATTATAAATTTCTTATGATGAAAGGGTCACACTTTTAAATGGAAACCAATGAAAAGTAATTTTAAATCATTATTGTTTTATTTACCCTGATAGTATTTGCAAATAATAATTAGTAATTAATAATGCAATCTTTGATCAAATATATACTATAATGAACAAAGTAGTGGCGATATATTAGTTTCTATTAAAAATAATTTCAATCGAATTATTCAAAAAATTTTCATTCAAATTTTGATTGAATGAATAAAATGTAAAATTAAAAAGAAAGATGATGAATGTTGTTTTTTAATTGATTTATATGAGTATATCAGATGTGAAATTTATTTAATTTATCATATCGAACAAACCGATCAATTTTCCCAGTGAACAATGTGATTAATCTTTTTAAGTGATTAATCAATTTTTTAAGTGATCAAGCGATCAATCTATAAAGTGATCAATGTGATCAGTTTTCTCAGTAATCAGTGTGATTAGCTTTCTCAGTGATCAATGTGGTCAGTTTTCTCAGTGATCAGTGTGATCAGCTTTCTTAGTGATCAATACGATCATTTTTTTAAATCAATACAATCGATTTTTTAAGTGATCAATGCGATCAACTTATAAAGTGGTCAATGTAACCAGTTTTCTCAGTGATCAATACGATCAATCTTTTAAATGATCAATCAATGTGACTAGTTTTCGTAGTAATTAACGTAATTAACATTCGATCATACAATTGCTATCAAAACATTTATACTGAGACGATATACTGAAATACAAATTAGCTATTCATCAAAATCGTTTATATTATATCATCCATTTGAAATTTTTACTGATAAAATTTTTACATATTTTTATTGAATTTTTACATAATAAACATTTTTGAAATATCCGTTGTTCAAATGATCCAATAAATTATCAATTTATTCATATATAATAAATTTAAATTTCAATTGTAAACCTTTTTAGATTATACTTTATATAATTTGAAATGATTGAAGTAATTTAAAAAATTTCAAATAATATCGATCTTGTAAGGAATTAGTCCCAGGACATGTCATTTTATTTTTATTTTTACCTCCCATAATTTGCATGCTTTTAGTGATTTATTATAAATTATCTTATAAGAAATATTTTGTGGGATAAGTCAAAAAACTTCATGATTCAATGCTTTTCATTTTTTTTTCGTACCCGCTAAAAAAGTGATACTAATTTAATTTGTCACCATAATATTCCGATT